GACTCTTAAACAGTTCCATTGTATATCCCAAGTGATTGCAATTGAATAGAAACCTGGAAGAACAGTAGGGATAGCATGACTGAATTTCACGACCTTCTGGCCATACTTCATTTTCTCTTTTCTGTTCTAAATCATGAACTCCATATTGAACCAAGAAGGCTTAATTGCCATGGGCTTATAGTAATGAGCTGTGAAGCCTATAATTGAGAATATAAGAAGATGAGAACTATATAATGAAATTATGACAAATGGACATTTTGAACACTCATATCCAACATGGAGAACATATGATGATTATTATGTTCTTCACTATAAACACAAGTCATTCCCAACAATTCATTGAGCTTTTGTGCATCCAAAAGCACACAGCCTTAAAGAGCTAACATGTGATAGAGCAAATGAATAATTACAACTCCTACAATGAAGGGGCAGTTACAATATTCTATTAGCACTATCTAAGGTATAAAGAGACCAAGAATTGGGAGAAAATTAGGAATTCGCTTACTACAGTAGCAGGAGAGTGTATACCAAGGAAAGGAACAATGTCAACCTGCAGCCAACTCTCAACTGCAGAACCCACTACCGCACCAGCCACAAGGCCACCTAGTGTTATCGCCGTTGCCTTTCCTGCAATGAGAGGGAAAAAATTAACGTCAAATATGTTCTTCAACGATTAAGAGTTTCAACTTGTGAAATTCTGAAAGCTTGGGCTCCAATTAATAATAACATAAAATTAAGCATTATTGCTCTTAAAGTATGTGAAAAGTGCTTACACCGTTCTTAAAATTTAACCAATATATTAAAAATATTTTTAGACATAGATTACAGAACTAATAACGGAATCATTATTAGAAGAGACCTTTGTATGGAACTTTCACACAACCAAGAAAGCTAATTTGCTCGACTATTCAGAAGGTCTACACTGATTTTTTTTTCTTTAAAAAAAAAAAAAAAAAAACTTTAGATGACCCATAAGCCAGTCAACAGAACATGGTAACTTGATTTCGAAAGAGCAATAAAAGAACCTCCCATATTTCAAATTATGTTTGAAAAGAATCAAGTTACATTTATTTTTTTGGCCGCGGTTCTTGCTGGCTGTATATAACTTCAAAGATAACTAGTATGGTTCTTCAGCCGGTCTCTGGACTTCTCTAGAACATTAATCATAATGGGTTGCAATGGAGAATTCTCAAGTTCATGATAATCAAACTCTTCTAGTACTTATAAGCAATATATTGTAAACCTTCTTTGTGAAAATCCTTACCTAATTTTACGTTCTTTTTAGTCATAAAGTACAGGGAGGCTCCAAAGCTACCAGCCAAGATCAGTCCAGGAACATCAGCACCTGCATAAGGCAGTGAAGAAGATGAAGCGGCCCCATTTACATATGTCAAGACTGCTAATGCCCCATATACACCAGCTTGTATGCCCAAGTCACCAGTAGATGGTGTTTCTACAGAAACAGGCATGTTCCGCAGCCACTGAGACATTGAACCTACACCAGGAGAATTTACTGGTTTAACATCAGCATACCGGATGCGACTGTTCTCAACTTTCCCAGCTCGACGCCGAGTTAAGCTCTGCATCAGCAGTATGTCATACGCAGCTTCAACCTGAAACACATTTGGCATAGCAACAAGGAGATGTTTATGGCTTTCCTACCATATAGGCTATAGTGGATAAAAAATGTAACGAGTGACAGAATGGAATCGATGCATAGTCCTTGGTTCTTCAGTTAGAAAACCTTCCAAATAAAATATAAAACAGAACACATGAAATCATTTGTAACAAATAAAAAACCTGTCAGTATTAGAACCTTTGAGAAATATAAAACGTTCACCCAGGGAATGTAACAATTTTGCCCAGTCATCCATGAAAAGTGCAGGATATCTAATATCGCGCTTTTAGCAACCAGGCAGAGGATTTTCTCCAAATGACAAATAACTCTCCTTCCTAATGCATAATTAACAAAACAGCTAAATGGAATGACAAGTACAATGACTTATGCCATAGAAGTGATAAATGACAAACATGGCAGAACAGTATGCAATGACAAACCAAATATAATCATATTTTTAACTAAAAGGAGGTTGAATCCACGGTTTCTCCCTTTTTACTTTTGAGGGGAGAAAGTTGAAATTGTTTCTATATTTGCATGGCGTTCAATATGATAGACTTTGGTTAATGAATTCAGACTCTAAGAGAATTTATTACGTAACATACTGATACTAGCCTATTAGGTTCCACTGATCGAAGTAAGAAATACAGAAACAATCAAAATTGAGTCACAAAACAACCAAATTGACATCAACGCATGAGAACAGGTATTGAAATTTCCAAAATCAAGACAAAACTGGCACTCAAACCACGATCAATACATTACCTGAGCAATCCCCTTGTCGTCGCTGCAAGTAGCAAGAATGGAATTCTTGGCGCGGAGTATTTCATCGAAGGAGGCTCCTTCGGAGACGCCAAGAAGCTTAAGCGCGTTCTCGAGAGACATCTCAGACGGCGCCGAGTCGTCAGCGCGCGAGCTCGCCTGAACCGGCAGCAGCAGCGTCCTAGTATATTCACGGCAGAGAGGAGGGACACCACCGGTCCAGGAAACAGTTCTACCGGGAAATGTTGAGCCGGATCGTCGGAAGGGCGGTCGGGAAAACGGTGAACCGGCGGCAGGGGTGTTGGGCCGGACGGAGAGGGCGGCTGCCATAGTCGAACTGATTTTCTGCAGAAGCGTGAGGCTGGCCTTCGTTGATATGCAAAATCAAGGAATGTTATGGTATGTCGGTCATAGAATAAGTTCCGGTGAGCTCTTTTTATTGTCTGATCTCCGTCGCATATCCGGCAAGGGGTTTTTTGGTCTTCGTGATGTACGGTTCAGATCTTCTCTCTTTCTCTAAGGCCTAAAAGGCTTCATTTTGATCAAGCAGAGAATTTTTCTTTGACGGGGCTTTAATGGAAACTGACAAATAGTGAATGAGATTTGATGAGTAAGAAAATAGAATTAAGAGTAACGACAAATCTTAGTTTAGATTGGCTTACACGTAATTTTATTTTTAAAAAAATAATAATTTATAAAGCGTTTTAAAAAATTAAAAAATTTAGAAATAATCTATAAAAGGTTTTATCTTGTATTATAGTAAAAAAGAATTAATTTTTTTTTAATAAAAATTATAAATAATATATATTTTTTATTTTTCATGATAAAAATACTTTTAAAAAGGAAGGATATTAGTAATTTCTATAAAAGTAAGTCTTTTTAAAATAATTTAAAAAATTTTAGGGCTATTTTTATTAATTTAGCTTTTAATTATATTGGTTAAAGTTAAATTATATTTTTTTTTAAGAAAAAAGAAATATAAGTTTTAATTAATTAATTAATTAATTTTTATCTAGAGTAACTTAAACTTGGCGACTATATCTCTATAAAAAAAAAAAAAAATTTAAAAACCACTCCGATCGGCGACTTTATGGATAAATCGACGGCACCCGCCTAGTGGCGACGGCCGTCGTCGCTGCTTATCTGCAGATGCAGAGTTTTGCCGTACTGCAATCCTTCCGTACGTTCGGCCGTCCTGTTGTATTCTCATTGGCGCCGAAATGCCGATCTCAGGTGACTTTGGTTTGCATCTTTCTAGGGCTTTCTTTATGTATTCGTTTGCAAGTATATTGGATAACGTTAGTTGGATGATGAAAGTCTCGCTAATTTAGAAAATAATCATGAATTTATAATCAAAGAATATTCTCTCCTCGTACCAGCCTTTTGAGATGTGAACTTATGTTTAAAGTGGATAATATCATACTATTTTGAAGAGTCGTATTCATCTAACAATTACTGCCTCTAGTTAGGTGCATCTTATCGGTGAGAAAAAGTGCCAAGAAAATTAGCTTTTATTTCTAAATTATTGAATTATAGGACCTACTGATCGCTGTTCTAAATCTATCTTAGGGAAGCTTCTTTGCTGCTAGAATGGGAATCTAGATGTAATATAGGTCCTTATAGATTTCTATGGTATTGAGTGAGAAGAAGGCGACTAGGTCTTGAACTTTCAATAGCATTGTGTTGGAAGGCTGTGGAGGAAGGGTATCGGGAATTGTACCCTGACGATAAAAGTACAAATCATTCTACGAGATTCTCGGAGTTCGAACAGGACAAATTATACGGTGATCTTCTGTTGGTTCTGGCCTTAGAAAAAGGAGAGTGATTCAGTGTTATGGGCCAGAAAACTCAAAGTTACAGATTAGAAGATGGTTCTGAACTGAGAAAATTTAGTTCCATTTGGAACTTTTGGGAAAGTGTGGTTCTTCTTTATGCAACTTGGAGTACTCAATTGTGAGGAGAACGTGTAGATAAGTAAGAAACAATATCTTTATCGGTACGAGATGTTTTGGAGAAACCAAAAACTAAACTTTGAGAATTTATGTTCAGAATAAACAATTTCATACTAATATGTAGATTCGATGTTCCTAACAGCTACTACGGCATTCTTATAGATTTCAAGTGTGTATGTACGTGGGTCATCGAGCTGTTTGATTCCTTTTGGAACAGGGAAGATATTTGAACCCATATTTTATATGCTAAACCATTCCAAAATACAATCAAGTTCTGTGGCTTTTGGTTGCTGCTGAAAACTGTTGATGTTGGGTTTTGCTTTCTAGCATTACTTGTGTTTCTGTATCTGTGTGCTGGACTTGTTTTCAATGATAAAACAAACAGGCTCTGAAGCGAAGCCAAAAATTGAGTTACTTCTCATTAATCAACATCCGTACGTAGAATCTGCTGGTTTTGAAACCAGATCTTGCAAGGTTGATATGATTAAAGTACTTCCTTCATATCTGAGAAAGTTGATCTGCTTAAGATTTTGTTGCTTACGAGAGTTTTTTCCTTTAGACCAAAGCTGAGCAGCATGATTTGTGATAAAACACCCTTCCCAAGTGGGCCTAATTTTTTTAACTCCAAGCTCACCGCAAGTAGACAATCTCTTCTTTGAAATTTTCTTTCAAGTTTTTTGAAACGTGTTTGCTAGTGAGAGATTTCTACACTCTTATAAAGAATATTTTGTTCTCCTACTCAACTGAAGTGAGATCTTACAATTATTCTGTAATGGAATCGGCTCCACATCAATTGTGCTATTATCTTTTCTTTTCCCTTTGTTTTTCTTTTTCGTCATTACCATCTCTGCTTAAGTTTTTATGTTTTTTTATGGCTATTATAAATCAAACTGTCATCTGGGATGGTGCATAAGTAGTCTGGCCTCCCTCTTAAACTATGACTTTTTTTCCAAAATTCTCATATTTTCAGGTGTCTTATTTGATCTGTAAACGTGTACAAAGTATGTGTTGATTTCGTTTATAGCATGCTGAAGTAAAATCATTCCAAAGTTAACCAATTGAACAAGGAACATCACATCACTTACTACAATTCAATAAAGTGCTTATCTACAGAGAAAAAGGCAAGAGAGTGGATAGCAATCTGCAGGTAATTACACTTCGAAGCTCAGAGCTATGAAAGCAGCAGCCCCATCTATTGAAAGGAAAAATGGAGGTACAGATTTTTATAGTATCCTATTCCTACTTGCGTCACATCAAACATATTACTGCCTTTTGTTTACTGTTTTCCCCGGCTCTTCCTCCAATAAACCATTATTTATAAGAGCATAAAAATCTTTACTCAGTAGACACGCTTTAAAAACTTTGATAGGAAAATCGAAAGAGAAATCTCAAAGAGAACAATATCTACGAGTAGTGGGCTGTTACAAATGATATCAGAGTCAGACATTGGGCGATGTGCCAAGAAGAAGGCTAAGCTCCGAAAGGGGGTGGACATAAGGCGGTGTGCCAACAAGGACATTGGGTCCCAAGGGGGTGGATTCAGAGGTCCCACATCGATTGGAGAAGGGAACCAGTACCATCGAGGACACTGGGCCTCAAAGGGGGTGAATTGTGAGATTCCACGTCGATTAGGGAGGAAAATGAAACTTTCTTTATAAGAGTATGAAAATTTCTCCTTAATGGATGCGTTTTAAAAACCTTGAGGGAAAAGCTCGAAATGAAAAGTCTAATTAAAACAATATCCGTTAACGATCAATTTAGGCCGTTAAACTTTCTCTCTCTTTCTCGTTGTAATTTCCCTCACAGGAACGATAAATGAAGCCTTTTCAAGCTGCAGGTCACTCCCAACCCAACTAACAGTCATTATGCAACATCTCAACCTTCTACAGCTTCAATGGCAGCTTTTGCAAGGAAAAAGAGAGAGAGCTAAGGCTCTGTTTGACAGTCCCACCTATTTGTCTAAAACGAGTTGTGCCACTGCCACCCTCTTTGGATGCTTGGTTGTTCCTCACTCACCCACCGAAAGAAGGGTGAATCAATGTAGATTCTTTTGTACGGACGGCGGCAGTCCAGAGGTGAGTATTAAAACAAAGTCTTTTGTTTTTCTTGCTTTCACTGACTGATAGGACCTAACCCATTCTTATAGAGACTGATTGGGGTCTGGTGGCTCTCTCTTTTTCTTCTTGCTAATTTAAGTGGACATGACTTTGCAAAAGTTTAGTGGCTTTAATTTAGTGAAGTAGTCGAGGGAAAATTTTGTAACTTTATCCCAATCATTCCTTCCAAATCTGATGAAAAGTCCCTTTTACTTCCTACTTTCCACTTCTTTTCAAGTTTAAGAAACTTAGATAATGCTAAGTTTGTAGTTAAATTAGTTCATATTGGGCGATGCTTTTATTCCCGGTTGACTATTAACGATGTACATAAATTTTATAATTTTATAATGTTGTTGAATGCTGGTTGTTGTAGATTGAAGAAGCCTGATGTTTTTCCTTGATCATACTACATAGCACAAGCACAAGTGGTGGAACATGTGGTTTAATTTGATGCAAAGCAAAAAACTTTACCAAGGTTTGATATGCCGCGAATCCTCTTGAAAGAGAGGTGTGCCTTCGGGAACGCGGAATTGCCTCCTAGGATCTATAATTGTCTCAAAATGTCCCTGAGGGACTGGAGTGGGTAAAACAATATTCGTTATAGTTTGGAAAAAAAATGTGTGACAATTCCAAAAATTGCGTATTCAATTGATCCTATTTTTTTCTTGTCTTTTCGTCTTTTCATTGATTGATTCTTACCAAAGTTTACTTTCTTCTTTGATTTTTGGATTTGAGTACTCGTATCCTCAACCATTGACATATTCTCCCTTGATAAAGTCTCCAACCAGTCTTTTTTTTCTTTAGTACTTACTAGATAAGTTCGATTGTTTAGTATTTTCAAAATACAAGTGAGATTGTAATTGATTTCAATCTTTTCTTAAGTTCGCTTAAACCTAGGGTCATCTCAACCTTAATCTAGGATCAGCCTTAAGCTTAATTGAGGGTCGACCTTAGAGTCAGTTTCAACTCGAGTTTTGAGTAGGTTTTTTGTCTGCTTTTATAACACAAGGCTTGTTGAAACTTGGAAGTTTTGAGAAAAATCTTTCCTCGTGATCCCATTTGTGAAGGGCGTACCTCGAACCTCTTAATCTAACTTTTCAAGATCATGAAACTTTATATATCCTTCTTAGAGGTTTTCCGTGGTGTTCTCCTACATGTTTCTCAATTTCTTTTAAATTTTGATAAAGCTGACGTTCCATGGAGGGCTTTGTACCTCAACCTTGGTCTCGCCCTGTGCCTTTCGATTCTCCTCCATCACTTTTTGAAACCCTTGAAGTATTGTTTACCCTTTTTAAAATTAGTTTTTTTTTTTTTAAGATAGGGTATTTTATTAAAATCAGTTTTAAATATAAAATAACACAAATGTAGATCAAGTCAAATTTTTCTAATTATATGAACATATATATATATATATATTTATTTATTTTATGGTATAAAACCGTTAATAACAATGTCAAAATTGCACCGACCATGTCAAAATTTCTATTCATTGTTAAGTAACACTCATTGTAAATAATATCTCCTTCAATAATAACCGGAACGACTACATCTCTTACCAAGAAAAGTGTTGCTACCTCAAACAAAATTTGGCTTTAAAAGAGAATAAATAAATAAGATTGTAAAATAACACAGGGGATCCCATAAATACACGCACATTTATTACAAATTGAATAGAAGTTTACAAAGGGTATGATTGGAAAATGCGTGTACAGGATTCTAAATGTTACTTTAAGATATTAATTATTTATCGTCTTTTAATACTCAACTCTTTTTCAAGTAGTGGGTTCTGAATTTTGGACTCAACCGACTTAAGTACAAAAATAATTTTGTTGGTTTGACACGTGTGTATGTCGGATAACTAAAGTTTAAACACTTTTGATCACTTGGTCGACGATACATGTTTTAACTAATTGAATTAAGCTCGAGCCGAACAAATACAAGAACGTATTTGACATAAATCACGACGTTTTAACTCTTTTTATCTTTTTAGGTAATCCAGTGTCACGTTCTATTCCTTGTTATTTAATATCATCGTATCAGTTTCAACTAAACCATCGCCACATAATTTATAAAATTACTCGACACCTTGAACATTTAGTTGTTCGAGAGAGAATTTAAAAAGAGATCAAACCAAATTTGGAGCAAAACATTGGAAGAAGAATACAAAAGTGTTCTTCAATTTACCAAAGAAAACGTTAAAAGGTCCAATGTGTTAAAGTTAAAAGACAGCGGAATCGTCCAATTCTCGTCGTCTCCAATCATTTTGACGACACTGGCACTCGCGCCTGATATCGAAACCCGACCCACCTATATAGCTCGCTTGCTTTCTTCCCTCATCGGCCGCTTCCCAAAACCCTTTCATCATTCCTCTTGATTTTTCAATTCAAGCAAGCTTCGGCGCCTCTCCGCCTACGCCACGTTAAACCCTTTTGATTTATTAATCTTTATACGTCTCATTGATTTCCAGCTTTGGTTCTCTATTGGGTTTGTTTTATTTTTGTTCTAATCGATTGATATGGCGGCGAGTGTGTCATGGCAAGCTCAGGAAAATGGGTTCAACGAGATCTGCGGCTTGCTCGAGCAGCAGATTTCCCCTTCATCGAATGCTGATAAGTCCCAGATTTGGCAGCAACTTCAGCAATACTCGCAGTTTCCTGACTTCAATAATTACCTCGTTTTTATTCTTGCACGCGCCGAGGTTCTTCTTGTTCTATCTTCTTTTGCGCTTTTGTTTATATGTTTTTGCAATTCGCTTAACAATTGTTGATGGGGTTGACTGGATTGGACCACTGGCTTCTCGAGACTTCTGGGTTTGTGATTGTAGAGTTGGGATTAAAATTGGTTGATTAGTTTTTGAGTTGTACTCTTGATGCGTCCGGAATGCTTGTTTGCTCCTCAACGTGTGCCCTTCACGGATAATTGTCATATTTGTTCTGTGGAAGCTTGATTCGCGAGGACGAAGGGTTTTTTTTGGTGGACTATTATCTTAATTTGTTGCAACCGATCTGCTGAACTTTGCTTTTGACTTCAGTTCATTGCCAATAGCCTTCTTAACTAGTGTGCCTTCTGCTCTCTGCTATACATGTAGCCACACGCAATAAAATTGAAAAAAGTTTTGAAGCTCTGTGTTGGTTTTAGAATATCATTGCTGCTTGTAGATTTAGCCTGTGATTTATAAAATTCTTGTTTTGGAGTTCAGAAATTGAGTTGATAGATTGGAACTTTCTGCAGGGTAAATCAGTCGAGGTTCGACAAGCGGCAGGCTTGTTTCTGAAAAACAACCTTAGAAATGCATACAAGTCGATGTCTCCTGTCTTTCAGCAGTATATTAAATCTGAATTGTTGCCGTGTATGGGAGCTGCAGACAGACATATCAGGTCTACGGTTGGGACCATCATCAGTGTTGTTGTTCAACTAGGGGGAATATTGGGGTGGCCTGAGTTGTTGCAAGCACTTGTAAAATGCTTAGACAGTACAGACCAGAATCACATGGAAGGTGCTATGGATGCTTTGTCCAAGGTTTATTCTTTATCCTAAAATCTTACCTTGTCTATTTTTTAGAGGTATAAATGCAATGACTAAAATTTTGTCACATGATTGTTCGTTCTTTACCCTATACGAGTATGGTGAAGTTCAATGTTTAGATAAGACTGTTCCTTGTGGAAGGTTGGTTTTGTTTGTAAATTGAATAATTTAGTTTAGGCAAAGTTAAAATTTTCAGAGTACACTTCGATCTTTTGGTTCATACTAAAATCAGGTATACTAGGACAGTTCAATGAGTTCAATTGGCATTCAAATTTCTTATCTTTTATGTAACCTCTTTTAATGATGATCAGCAACATAGCCTTATATTGAATTTATGTTGCAGCAATTTGATAAGGTGAGTGTTGTCAAGGTTTGACAATTATATTTATTTTTCATAATTTCTGGCTTAGATTTGTGAAGATATACCTCAAGTGCTTGATTTAGATGTACCTGGTTTGTCTGAACGCCCAATCAACATATTTCTTCCTAGATTATTTCAGGTATGGTCATCTTGTACCCTCTCGTGTATCGCTATTTTTCTATTCATAGTTTCCTTACCATTGATTCAATTGGCATTGAAGCATTGTCTATCCGTAGCTGTTAGATCCTTTCAGTTTATTTTTCCTTTTTTTTTACCAGTTAAAACTCTGTTTCCTGATTCTTGTGCTTGGATATTCTTTGAACAGTTCTTTCAGTCTCCGCATGCTACGTTGAGAAAGCTTTCATTGAGTTCTGTGAATCAATACATCATGCTGATGCCCACTGTAAGTAATAATTATGAGAGATATTTTGTTATTTTACTTTTTTTGGACCTTGTTCCGATCCTTATGTTGACACTGGTTGTTACAATATATATGATTGTAGGCTCTATATGTATCCATGGATCAGTATCTTCAAGGTTTATTTGTTCTTGCTAATGACCCTACGTCAGAAGTGCGAAAGCTGGTTAGTGCTTTATTCTGTGTGTCTGGAGTATATTTTATTATAGCTGCTTCCTGCTTAATCACGGCGTTTTGTCTGATCTGTTTTGTTTGTAAATTAAATCCTTTGGTTTCTTATAGAAGAAAGTCAATGCAGCCCTAGGATGCTGCAATAAATTATCTGTTTGACATCTATTACTGTGGGCTTTAGAGTTGTTTTCAGATAATGAAGTATGTTGTAGCAGTAATAATATTGTTAGGTTTACATCCTTCTCCTTTCTTTGTGTCTATGTCGAGCAGGTTTGTCAAGCATTTGTACAACTAATTGAAGTACGCCCAACTTTCTTGGAGGTTGGTTCCGCCTTGTTCCTTGTTTGAATTATATGCCATATTTTAATTACTTCCTGCCTTTTGTTCCTTGGACTGAAAATATGAGCTGGATTCTGTCTAATTCCTCCTTTTTTAGACAACTATTTTTTCCGTTCTTTAAACTACGTTGATGTCTTTTATTGCTGCGTTTTTTATGAAAACACTGTTTATCATGTGACTCTGCAGCCACACCTGCGGAATGTAATCGAATACATGTTGCAAGTCAATAAAGATGCTGATGAGGAGGTTTCACTTGAAGCATGTGAATTTTGGTAATTGTCACTTTGTTAACTATGCAACTCTGTGTCTTGCCGGGTATAGTTTAATACCTGTTCATACAGCTTTAATTTTGTGTATGAGGTTGCTTCTTATTTTGATCATGTTTCTTTTCTTTCTTCGTCGTCTTCTTTCTTTTTTTTTTGAGATCTAGTCTTAATATCCTTGAATAACAAGAAAATTTTGGCTTAGAGTTTATATGAAACTGATTCTCAAGCTACTTGCACATTTCCTACATTATTAACCCAGATACAAAATTTTGGTTTTTAAGATATTACCATGCTCAAAAAGCATTCATATCCACGGTATGCCTTGCATGGTTTTGATTAGACCGTTTGATACTCGAAATTTCAGTACATTGTTTGGTGGTTTTGCTTAAGATATGAAACACATTCAAAGTTGTTACTTTTCATTTTTTCTTAATCCTCATAATATGTTTTGTGTGGAAAGATGGAAAAGAGTTGGATTCTCTTTACATTTAGTCCATTTTTGCTGAAGATCTCCGGGGATTTCGTTGAAATACTTAAACTCACATTGTTCCCCCTTTTAGTGAGTGGCCCTTGTTTTTAAGGGAAATTGT